TCAGCCAACACGTGTCCTGCATCCAAACAATGCAACAAACTAAAAAAAAACCCTCAAACGTTCACTCTGACTGCCGTGTGTTGCATCAAGCGATCCGGAGCATCATGGCATCCACCTGCTCTTCACTTGGCTTGTCCGCAATGTGAGCTTCAGCTCTGCGGTGGTGAGCTGCTCGCATTTGCCAAGCAAGCAAAAAGGCAGCAGCCCGCCTGCGGCTGCCATGATGCCGTACAAACGTGTACAAGCGGCAGCCGCTGTGTGTCTCGCAAGCAACGAATGCTCGGAGCTGACCGCTGGAGTGTGTGAAATTGTCAAAATGCACTACCTGTGTCCTACCGCCTCCCAAGTCGATTTCTAGAGGAGCGACACGTCTACCACCGCTGGCCATGCTTGGCTGCGGCTCTTCTGCTTGCATGAGCTTTTCAGGCAGCTCTTGCACAAGCTCTTCTAACTCGGCATCATCAGCCTCTGGGTCAAGCTCCAGACCTGTAGCCGCATCTCTTGTCAAGCTGCGGCCAGCAAGTCTTTTTTTCTTCTGCGCGAACCGAGCATTGATTTCCTCTGCAGAAGCATCCCGCAAGCTGCTGAGATCGTCCTGATCCACCAAGAACTCATAATACTGCTGGGGGCCTTTCAAGTAAATGCCCGACAAGTTGCCGGGCTTTTCCCATATAAGCCGACTCAGCATCAAAGCTCTGAGGAAGGGGAGGCTGCAAACTAGAACGTCATCTGGAAGACGTTTCTCTCCCTGCTTGCGATGCCACGCTTCCCGGCCCAGCCCTGGCTCCCAGCCCAAGACAAACAACAAACGAATTAACTCCAACTTTGATCGGCCTGGCATCTGGCCTCGAGTCAAAGAAGTTTGGTCAAGCTCCCAAAGCAACAATGGCCGTGCCAGCACCAAGCTTGCACTGTAGGTCAACTTGCCCGTCAAGGCGACGGATACATCTGAGAACATATCAGTCTCGCAGATGACAAGACCTCGGTCACGCAAGCCTTCCAGTGCAACAGCATCGAAGTGTTCAAGGTCTGTGGCATACACAGCAGATTCAATGCCGATGGCCCTTGCTCGCAGCAACTCTTTGATAGCTTGCATTTCTCGGTCGCTACACGGAGCACCGTAGACCTGCAGCACCGCAGAGTCGTCCGCATTCTGCACGACATGGGCAGGGGGGTGCAGGATGTCGAGGGCATCTTCCACATGCGGATCCGGAGGCGGTCGACTCAACAAGCAGGCAGGATCGCTGTCTAAGACAATCGCTGGAAGTTTCTGCACTTGCGGCTCCTGCAGCAAACCTGGCTGCGTGGACTCGTCTCCCAGAGCCAAGGCCAGTTCCGCAGGCATAGCACGCCAGAGCAAACAGTTTGCACAAAAGGCTTTCAAGTTCTCTGCTGTGCACACCCGTGCCAAGTCTAGAACCTCGATCCGCACATTCGTGCACGCCACCCGCACATCTCCACCAAGGCCGTGCACGCCCTGGGAAACATCCACGTCGTGGAAACGCTGCACAACCACACAGCTGCGGCGGCCTAGCTTCGGGTCTGTGATGTGTGCAGCAGGTCGCGAAACACGAGCATCCGTTCTTGCTTCTGGCCTGGCATCCAGCACCGAGCAGAAAACCGAAGCACGATCACTTACCCGAGGGTGGACGTCGGCTCGCAGAATAGACAGCAGCACGTCGGTTCTGAAGGATGCGGCTGGGTCTTCACATCTCCGACCCCTGTCGACAAGTAGCTCAAAGACATGCGTGGACACACTGAAAAACACGCCCGTCGCCAAATGGCCTTTCAGCCAGTTCACTACCTGGTAGGAAGCACTCGGAAGCTTGAAGCTTCCGGCCAGTAACAAAGTCTGATCTCTCAAAGTTTGGCGGTAAACGGCATCAGCACGAACAGAGTCCTCGCAATCTTTGAAGTGGTCTTCCTCGCTATACCCGTACAAGCGGGAAAGCCTCTTTGGCGTCTCCATAAGTCGAACCTCTTCGTGAGTGAGCATGTGCTCCAGCAGGCTACTCCAAAGGCGCCTGCTGCGCCAATTTTTGACCAAGAAAGCGAGCTGTTTCTCATCTTCCAGCATCTCCAACACTTGATCTCTGCGCTTGCGGCTGCAGACAACTGCAGGCCCAGCCTTTGTGAGACCACGGTTTGCTGCAACCTTGACACCGACATGCTCTCTCTCCGTGTGTCGCTCGGACAAAGAAACAAAGGCATATTCCTGTACTCTCCAAAACAACGCTGGCCATCGATCAAGGGGCACGTCATCCTCCGAGTTCAGAAACTCTCGGAGCATGCGGCCTGTGTCGGTTGGTCCAAACAAAGCATGTGTAACAGAGTCTAGAGCGCCGACTTGGCCACTGGAGATCATGTTGTCAACGTTCTGAAGATGTGGCCGAAGAACCTTTTTCACTCGGCCCCAAGTCTCGCCCATATACCCCGCAAACGCTGCGGCAAACACCCATGGTACTTGCTGAGCATACGCAAGCTTTTGCTGGATAACGGCAACAAATACTTTGTTGCACGTGTCCGCCATGTGCGCCATCCGACTTGCAGTTTCACTAGAACGAGACAAGAGATGCGCAAGAACACTAATCTCGTTGTTTGTCATGGCATCTTGCAAAGCTCCCTGGAGATTACAAACCGCAAGCCAAGGCAAGCGCCTGCCTTTCCAACAACAGTTTATCTTTTCCCGGTTTTCTGGGTCTGTCAGCTGCTCCTGATGGCAGTGACAACCCTCGAAAAAGTGGGCCAGCCTGGTGGCCTCGGCAGAGAACTGATGCGTCCACACTGCCATGTCGAAATGGCACTCGTCTGCCAACGCTTCCGTCACAGCTCGAATTGTGACTGACGAGCTGTCCCCACCAAAAACAGCTGGGTTCCAATATTTCTTGAAGGTGGGATATAGAGGAACCCAAACCTTCAGCACTCTTGCGAGCGAATCCCACCTCCAGTCTAAGAGGTCATCCATCCGATGCAACAACCGTCTCTCCTCGGGGCTCGCATGCTTCATCATTCTCACAAGAATTACTTCTGAGTAACTCTTTTCTTTGCACACACGGGTGATGCTGTTCAACTGTTTCTCGAATTTTTGCCAGGTTTCAAGCTGCTTCAAGCTGAATTCCAGTGCGTAAAACACTATGTGTAGTGTTCCCGGTATGTGTAGAGCGGAATGAAAGAGCGGCAATTCACGAAAATCCTCCTGTATTGCCTCGCTCGCCAAAGCTTGAGCGCCCACAATACTCTGGACCTCAGAGCAACTGCGGACTGGAAACGATGCTATGCCTCGCTCCGTTCCTTGATCGCTTAAGAAGCCCCGAACTTCCGAACGATACGTCTCAAAGAAAGACGCACCACTCTCAACGGCAATCATATGTACCATCTTGCTTGCCTTCGAAGCTGTGCTTCCTTGTCCTCTCGCAATTGTTGTACACAACATCGAACGCCTCTGGTGTTCAAACCCTTTGAAAGGAGCTACATTTCCACCCGCATCCCTTGGAAGCTCGTCGGAACGATAGAGCAGCAACTCTTCTGTCGCAAAAAAATAATCATAATTCGCTTGCGGGGAACTGTCAGGACTGATGTACCTGACAATTCGCAGCGACTTGTCTGCCCCACCACCTGGTGGGGCAAGGAACCGGCGAGACAAGGAATGCAAGGCATCAAGCTTTAGCAAGATATTCCGCACATGCCCATGCGACACTGTCATGTTGTCTGCCAGACCTAAACTATCTGGCACTAACATTCGAAGGACGGTGCGAACCACATCTTGAATGCCTACCGTTGAGCTGAGCTTGTAAGCGAGCTTTCCCAACAGGATTTCTTGCATGGCCGGCCTGCGCACTTTCTTCATCTCGCAGGAGGAAGAGGAACCACTGTCGGCACCATCACTGGGGCTTCCTTCTGCCGCAGCAGGAACGGTTCCGGGCAACTGGTGCCCCAAAGAAGTCGCAAGCCCACCAGGAACCACGAACTCCTTGCCTATCTCCATCAAATGCTTCATGACAGTTGGTGGCAAGCGAACCATCCAGAAAGGACGCCCTAGGTAACGCCTCGCAGTGCCTACTTCAGGCTCCGCCGCCTGTCCGTCTGCAAAGCAAGTGTAAAGGCCCTGGCGATCTGCAACGGCTTCGAAGATGACGCTTGGCGCAGCAGCTTGAAAAACCCATTGCGCTTGCCCTGCAGGCAAAACCGCCAACCTGCCAGCCAAGGCGGGCATCGCAGGAACAGGAGTCACCGCACCCTGGTTAGCAGCTGCAGGTGCCCGCACCAGGCACCTGCCACTGCAGCCTGGGCAGGCCCCAACTGGACAGCTGCCCTGAAACGAAAAAGAGACTTCAAACAGCACTTGAACATCTGGTTTCGGGTTGTCTGGTTCTGGAGGGACATCTGCTTAGCGGCGAAATCTCGATCGCGACGTTTCTGATGCCGAGCTCGCCAAGTATCTTGCTGCTGCAAGTGCTCTTGGGCACCCAACGGCTTGATGCATTTTCCCCCAAGCTCAGCAACACAAAACAAATAATTCCCTGCAGCAGCGGTGCCCAGAGATTCTGATTCGTCGCCACAGGTTTTCGCATACAGAAACAAAACCTCTGCACGGGAAGCATTTCGAAGTCTGTCCCTATATCGAACAGTCCGCAGGGCACCTGCAGACCTGGGAGCTTCCTCGGCCTCTGACTCGGACTCTCTGTCCTCAAGCTCACCGTCCCCAGGATCTGGAAGCCTAAAGATGGCAGGCTCTGCCATAGCACTATGACACTACACAACGAAAAGATCTGGCTTATCTTGGCTTATCCAATGTAACACCTCAAGCAAGCTAGGCTATGCCTACTGCCTACGTCCTCTTGCAAGATTGGATGATAAGTTGTCAAGCTGTCACTGTCACGTGAGTCATGTGCCTGAACTGTGCTGCGATTCGGATTCCCAAGTCCCAATCGAGTTTCGGCCCGGCGGCTGAGAAATCGCGGAATTCGAGTTCATAAAACAGCCGACAAAGTCAGGAAGATATGCTTGCTTGCGGTTTGCAGTTTGGGTTGGCTACATCACAAGTTGTAGGTTTGTAGCTTTCACGACGATTTTGTTCCAAAACGTGCCGCGTTTTCTTGGGAAGGGACGGTACTTGTTTGGAGAGGCTGTTGTTCTTGTGCTGACTGATTGATGGAAAAATAATCAAACCCTACTACAACAAATCATTTTCAAGTCCAGGGCTTGGAACCCATGCTCCAAATGCCCTGAACCCCCTTGCGCGTCACGCCCCCCGGGCCTAGATGAATCACTTATAGACGACGGCAGACCGGCTCGAGGATCCGCAAGTTCAGCGTCAAGGAGCTGGCAACGAGAGTCAACCGCTTGCGCGAGGTGGAGGCTACGAAGGACCTCTTGGCTGACAAGGTCTCGATGCTGCAGAAGTCTGGGGAGACTTATCTCACCATCAAGTTCGGACGACTCCGCTTCGTGGACACCATCAACTTCTGCAACTCGGGCTTGGGGAAGCTCATCGAGTCGCAGCGAAAGTGCGCTCTCAGGGCTGCGAACGGCGACGCGGGCTGTCTGGATCAGGCCTTCCCCATCACAGCTCGCAGACACCCCTACCTCAGCGGCCTTCGAGATGACAGGGGTGAAGTTTGGTCGGCTTTGCTTAAGAAGCTACCAATGCCTTGGGAGCATTTCCAAAGCCCCGCCGACTTCGAGAAACCGCCGTCTGGGACTTCGAGTGCTACCACAGCAAGCTCGCGGGGCCCTGCTCTCGGGAAGACTACGACGAGCTGGTGCTGACGGTCCACCGGATGGGATTTGAAAGCTTGAAGGAGGTGCATGACTGTTACCTGGGGCTCGATGTCACAGCCTACGCCGACCTCATGCAAGTCTTCAGGCTTAATTTCATGCAGAGGTACCACCTCGACGTCTTCCAGTACCCCTCCCTGCCAGCTGCAGCGTGGGATGCCGTCCTCAGGGGTGGCTGCGTCTTCGACCTGATCACCGACAGCCGGTTGTACCTTGACGTGCGGCGTGCCATGATGGGTGGCGTCTGCGCCGTCTTCAAGCCGCGGAGCGATGCCAACTTCGAGGGACTTGAAGGCTTCAACGACGCGTTGCCCACGAAGAGGCTCATGTACCTGGACATCAACTCCATGTACCCGGATGCCATGACGAAACCGTTGCCGGTCTCCTCAGGCTACCTCGAAACACTCCCGAGCTCGGACGCTGATCGGCTGGATTGGCTCCACAAACTCTTGAGCCAAGAGAACCCCCTCGACGACGACCCCGCCGAAGGTTTGGGCTACTTGCTCTTCGTAGACTACGACTTCCCGGAGGAGCTCCATGACCAATTGGATTGGCCGTCTCCCGCGAGGCTTCGCATCCGACCGGGGGACGTCGGACCCTACACTCAGGAAGCGGCGAGGAACCGTCCGCCGACGGAAAAACTGGTTCCCTTCTTGGGGATGCACAAGGAGGAGGGCATCCACAGCAAGCGCCTCGCCTTCCTTAGGAACCATCTGGGCGCTCGCATTTGGAAGCTGCATCGAGTCTGGTCCTTCGAGTGCCGCCGCGAACTGCGAGAGTTCATGGTGGAAGCCTACAATCGCAGGCGAGAGCTCAAGGACGCCGGCCGCGACCTCGAGCAGGGCTTCGAAAAGATCGCCATCAACTCCATCTACGGGAAAACGGTCCAAAATCAAGAGAAGTACCGGAACACGACCCACTACTTCGACCCGGTAGCTTTCAGCAGAGCTCAGGCGGGTGACCGGGTTGCCGATTTCACCGTGGACATCATGGAGAGGGACGCCTTCCTCGGCTCGGTGCACAGAGTCAGGCCACCCAGCAGGAACATCAATCGCAGCCCGCTTCAAGTCGGCTGGGCCGTTCTTGAACTGTCCAAGCTCAAGATCGCCGTGCAGTATTGGATGGGCGTGAAGGCCGCGCTGCCCAAGGTCGTCCCAATCCTGACGGACACGGACAGCATGCTCCTGGAGATCATCGGCGACTGCGACCCCGTCAAGCTGCTCGCTGAGGGCAACCTCACCCTGCCGGCGGAGTTCGACCTGATCGGGGACTTGGACGTTCAGAAGTTCGAGGAGAGCTTCGCGAACGTCATCTCCTTCGAGGGGATGCAGAAACTCAAGGAGCTGCAGGGCAAGATGGGCGCGCTGTCGGACGAGTGCGCCAAGTGGGTGGTGCAATCCGTGGTTTGCTTGGCTGTCAAGAAATACAGCATCCTTCTTTCAGAGGGCAAAGAGATCCACAAGGCCAAGGGCGTGCCCAAGTGCGTGCGAGACACCGCCAAGCACCGGGACTACCTGGACATTCACGAGGGGAACGCTGTAAGGCACGACTCCTTCACGCAGATGCAATCCTCCGGTCACCAGGTCTTTATCGCGACGCGACGCAAGCTCACCTTCAACGTCTTGAACGACAAAGCATTCCAGCTCACCAAGGAGTACTGCAGACCCATGGGGCATTGGCGAAATGCCTACTTGGGCATTTGGCTACGATTGGGCGGGGACGGCGTGCTCCTGCTGAAGATCCTAGAGTACGTACGGGGCGTGGCGCCCACGCGCTTCCGGGGCACGCTTGCAGTTCGAGAAGCTCTCTTTTAGTACCTGTACAGTTGCGGATTTTGCACGGTGCGCTTGGAAACCCTAGGATTGCTCCCTTGCAGCGGTTGTCAGCGATCCTTCTTGCAAGCTTTTCCCTGGAAACAGAGCTGCTCCTACGAGGCAGTCAGGGGCCCGTTTCTGACCGCAAACCACTAGGTTCACGATACCTCCGGCATCTCTTTGAAGCCTGCAAAAGACCTTCGACCGAGCAGAGTGCCTTTTGCGTGCTTTTTTTTTCTTTGAAGACTGCGATACCTCCAACTGCGCAGGTGCTGCTTCCTCCAGACAGCCTCTTGGATCGTACGCACTTCTGTTTCTGGGGATTTTTGATGTTCGGGGCTTCGGCGTTGGTCGTGGACTCTTGCACCTCAAGATCAACATTGATGCATGATGGAGTCAATGTAGTGTCATCAAGGACTCAATATTGAATCATTATTGAATCATCTTGAATCATTATTGAAGCATCATGGATCCAATATTGAATCATCATGGGATCATCTTGGATTCTTTTCGACGGAATCGAACAGTGCCGCGAGGCCTCCTCGGGTCCGTTTTTTAGGAACTTTTCGGCTCGTTTCGGGGACTTCGGGGAATCGAAGCGAACGGAGACCGCGAACTCGGGGGGCCTCCTCGGGCCCGTTTTTTCAGGACTTTTCGCCCGAACTTCGGGAAATCGAAGCGAATGGAGACCGCGAACACGGGGGGTCTCCGCGGTGCCGTTTTGCACGCGAAATCACCCCGATTACGGCCGGAAATTAATTGGTTCAATAGTCTTCCCTATCATACACACCTACGCTCTCGGCTCGCTCTCTAGAAGTCAGTTTAGAAGCTTTTTGCAAGCTTTTAGAAGCCCGTAAGATCGTTCGCCCTCAGTGTGACACGGCACTTGCTTGTTCCTGCTTCCGAGCACGCTGCCCGCCGGGCGCACCTCAAGCGCACAGCGGCCCAGGAATTGGACACAACAAAGCGGCATTGTGTCGGGCTCCACGCCTTCTTCCGAAGAACAGCAAGTCTGTGATCGCTACAATCCGTATTGTTCTGTGTGCTGGGTTGGCACTTACACAACTCGAAAGCAAAGAACGTCCTCTTCCATTCCTCCATCTGTCTGAGTTTTGGCGCATGCCCGGCGGGGGAGGAGGGGGGGTTGGTTTTTCCTTCTCTGTGCAGGGCTAGTTCTTTGGCTCTTCTAGGCTCTGTCTTGGCTCCTTCCATTGCGATCCTTGTCATGCGGTTACGGTTTGTGCTTGGAGGCGTGCTTCGCTGCATCTCTGGCTTGATACGCTTAGCCTCGGGGAGTAATACTCATTCCGCCTTTTCTGTGTCGCCATGGAACAACGTAAACTCATTCCAATTCGGGTGGGTGGTGCCCCATCGGAGCTGTGTAACACATTGCTCCAGGGCCTACCCAGCTGGATCGAAGACGTACCTGTCTTGGCGTATGTTACACCACCTATTGCTGTCTCCGCGGATGAGGTGTTACGCGAAGTTGGCCTGGCTTTTGGCGTAGCCTCAGTGTTCCTGGAGCTACGAGACTCTGCAGGGCAGGTTATGGATGCGGTCTTCTGTCCCAGCTCCATCTCTGTCTGTGCGGTTGTTTCCAATCTCTCGCCTCTGAGGTGGGTCGTTGCGGTGGACCTCTATTTGATCGCTGCGCTGAACAGGCGGCATTGGAGGTAATGTCATCGCGATGTCCCCCCGCTGGAGGATGAAATATGGGATGACACACTGGACCCGCCAACCGGATATAACCCTTTGCTTCTGGCGGTTGCTCGTGGTCACCGCATCATGGTGAATGCACTGCTACATGCGAGAGCATGCCCGCACACAGTGGCACAGCATGGCAGCTTACGCGGAATCTCACCCTTCGAGCTTGTCAGTGGGTGGATGAAGATGTCCTCCGCGCTTTCCGGCTCGTTAAAACCCAAACGCGCCTTGAGGCACACTTCTAGGTTTAGTAAAAGGAGGTGCAAGCCGACTGACTGACTACGTCACGCAAGGCTACAGCAGTGAAAGCTAACAGCACTTTTACACCTTTCGTCGCAACCAACTGTTCACCACGCGCTTGTCACGCAGTGCAAGTCTTGAGCCAAAGTGAAACGGGGCGCAGACAGAGACTTCAGCACACTCACTTCCGCGGTAAGTCCTAAGGACTCCTAACGGCTTCTCTGCACTGGCAACTCTGCTACACGGCCCAGGTGTTCCCCGGACTTCGTCTAGAAGTCCGCTCTCACAGCAAACAAACTGAAAACACTCTGATGTTCATCATGCTTCAGGAAAGTTCAGGGAAACACCGTTCTTCGTGAAAACTCGTGAGGAAAACTCCGGTTGGACACGCTTCTGGTAATGATCACTTTCACCGCAAGGTGAGACAGGAAGCGTGAGCGCAGCGACCGACAGACAGACAACTTTTCCCTACTCCTACCGTTCACAACTACACCTAAGGTTCTCTAAAACTCACTAAGGAG